ACACACACACACACACACACAGTCTCACACACACACACAGCCACACATACACAGACACACACAAACACACACACACAGTCTCACACACACACACACAGACACACACACAGACACACACACACAGAGACAGACACACAAAGACACACAGACACACAGACACACACAAACACACACACACAGAGACACACACACACAGACACACACACACACAGACACACACACACAGACACACAAAGACACACAGACACACACAAGCACAGACACACACACAGAGACACACACACACACACACACACGTTTGAGACGTAGCTCTTGCCCAAATTATACAGTAAAAATTACTAAGATGAAGACAGGGTTCATCAAAACTCAAACCCTTTGCTCCACAGAAGAACTTGCTAGAGGATCAGAGGACAAACTACAGCTGGGAGGAGGGGTCTGGGACCCACCCTGTCTGATGAAGGTCTCGCACCTGGAGTACCTGACGCTCTCCTGAAACTCAACACGAATTTGCGGGGAAAGTGGGCAGAAGGCCCGGGCAGGCGTTTCGCCGAAGGTGGCACCCAGGCATGAAACAGGCACACGAAGAGGCGCTCAGTGTCGCTAGCTAGCTCTTTGGGGGGGGCAAAAGGAGACCACGGTGAGCTGTCACTACTCGCCCATTAGAACAACTGAAATTAAAAAAAAGACGCTGACCACGCTCGGTTCTGCTGCAGAGAAGCTGGGCCGCTCAGCACTGGACACGTGAAGCGGGCAGACACTCTGGGAAAGAGTTTGGCAGTTTCTTAAAAAAACAAACCAAGCTACACTAAACATACACTTTCTATGTGACCATCGAGTTCACTCCTGGGCACTTATCTCAGAGACACCAAAACTTACGTCAGCGTAAACATCTGTACACGATTCTTCACAGCAGTAGCTATTTATTTGTAGTAGCTAAAATCTGAACGCACCCAGGATGTTCCAAACAGATGGTGGTTAAATAAACGACGGTCCGTCTGAACCGTGAACGCCAACTCAGTGATAGCAAGGACCGGGTCACCGTGCCTGTGACGTCTTGAACCAACGTGCTGCGTAACAAAAGCAGTGGCACTCTCCTGACTTGGATTTTGTGCACAAATTCTCGAAGCTGTAGCCACTGGGAATAGCTGGGTCCTGGGGCCTCTCTGTACTATCTTTGCAACCTCCTGTAAATCTATAATTACTTCATATGAAAAGTGCTGTTTTAAGACAACTGATTACAAAAATAGAAGCCTCGAAGAAGTATTGCGTAAGAGAGAATATTTTAGTGGCAAATAAACATGAAAAGATAAACTGATACCTTGTCATCAAGAAAATGGTTATGTATACACACATTATGATTCAGTATATGTATTTCAGTATATATGTCACACCTGCACGTGCACATCACACCCCCGTGCACATGTCACACCCCTGTGTGTGCAGATCACACCCCAGTGCACACATCACACCCCCGTGTGTGCCTATCACGTCCCAGTGGATGTACATCACACCCCAGTGTACACATCACACCCCATGTGTGTGTATTACATTTCGCCTGTATTTGCGTCTCCTCGAAGGCCAGTGTGATGGTATTTTAGCCAAGTGTTGGGAAGGCTGTGGAGCAAACTGAATTCTGATGCATTTCTAGCATGAATTGAATTTGTGGAACCACTTGGAAAAGAGCTTGGGAGCCCCCACCAAGACGGAACATACCTGGAGTCCACGACACGAGATCATGCCGGAATCGTGCCACATTTACACCAGAGACGGGTACCAGAGTGACCACAGCAGCATGCCCATGACACAGGACCCTGGGAATGACTCACATGCCCATCAGCGGTAGAATGGATGGACGCACTGTGACCTCCTGGGCATCTTTCCCGCTGGAGTGTGTCTGGGACTTGCAGCTCACCTGGATGCTGACCCAGCTCAGCACCTCCCGGCTGTTCCCATCTGATCCTGGGGCGGCTGCGACCCAGCGTTTGTCTTTTAGGACCAATCTCTGTGCCCTCCCTCCGAGCCGAGTTCCTTCTTGGCTTGCTGAGTGTCCGGATGAAAGGCAGGAAGCCCCCCTGGTCACTCCCCCCCCCGCCCCCCCAGCAGAGGCCCGCAGCCCCCGACTCCTTCCCTGAGGAACAGTGCGTGCAAACCTGTGGGCAGCGGACCCCCGAAGCGTGTTCCTCCGGCTCCGGCCTCACGGCGTCCGTGGAGTCAGTCTGGGAGTCTTGGGCAGCAACGGTGCCCCTCCCTGTGCTGGGCGGCCGAGCAGCTGCCCTGACCAGCTGTGTGCGCACCTCGACGCGCGGAAGGAAGCAGGGCAGACAGGAGGGTCTGTGCCTCGCACGCCCTGGCACCGGCGGCCGAGCTGAACACTGAGCCGGCCGGAGCCATGGCACGGGTGACGCTCGGCCCACCTTGAAGAGCAACGTGGAGGCGTGTTTAGAAGCAGAGAGCTCTCAGTATTTTGCAAAAGGAGCAGTGAAATAAGTTTCTTTAGAAACAGAAAAGCCAGCCAGCATATCAGCAAGATAATCTCCAGGCAGCCAGAATCCTGTTGACTCACAGCACCTTCCTTTAGAAAAGCTGAGAGCTTCGCTTGTCGAAACTGAGCAGAGCCCTGCAAGGGCAAGGATGCTCTTCTAGACACACATGTAATGCATGCGTGTGTTGTAAATGCACGCACATGGACACCCCTCAGTCTATGGTCAGTTTCTGCTAAGACGCCTTGTCCTCATGCTTGCTCACAGGAGGGAGGTAGACCAGATGGAGAAGCCGCCCCCTTGTGCATGGTTTCCGACCATGGTCCACAATCGCATTCTGCATCTGAAGGTGCCCAGGTTGGATTTGGCCGCATGTAGACCAGAGGCAGGGTTGGGTTGCAAACCGGTCACCTGGTGGAGGACCCCAAGGAGTCCCTGTGGGGACAGAGGAAGTGGATGGGCAGGGAGCCCCGGAGGAATTCAGGCATCCGAGTGCAGCCAGCATGTCAGAGTGGCCTGCCCTGAGGGGCCCAGGAGCCGGTGTCTACTCGCCAGGCCCGTCGGAGGACGGTCAGGACGTGGACTTCCACTCCGAGGGAGAGGATTCCGGGTGGCCTGCTTCCCAGAGGTCTGCCACTGGCTGTAACCTGCATCGGAGCACACGTGACCAAGGGCCCTCGGGCGGGCGTCTGTGGGAGACGCCGGCTCAGTCTAGGGCCTGTGCCCTGTGGGGAGTGACCTCGCGACCCTCACATGCTGCATGGCCCTCCTGGCCGCGCCTCTCACCCGAGTCAGGACCAGTGGCACCCAGTGTGTCTCTCATCCCGTCTGCGTGCGGAGGTGGCCAGGGGCTCCAGCAGAGGCTGCGGCCTGAGGCTGAGGCTGGGACTCCCGCTCGTGTGGCGCTCAGCAGGGTCTGAGGGACATCCGGACGATGGTCCCTCTGGAAGAAGGATGTATCGGGGGGATGGAGTGAGGGTTGCCAGGGCCGTCCCCCTGCAGAGGGGGTCAGCCACGTGGAAATCGGGCAGGAGCGCTCCGGCAGAGGGAACAGCCGGACGTGGCCCCATGGCCAGAGCGGGTGTCTTGCTGGAGAAGGAGCGAGGGGGCGGGCGTCCTGCGACCTCACTCTGAGCGGGGTGTGACGCTCACGGATGTGAGCTGAGGGCTGGCCTGGCTCGGCGTGTGTTTTGAGGGGCTGACTGGCTGTTGGATTGTGAATGTTCGAGGTGGGGTGTTGGGGGAGGTCAGGGAAGCCGGGAGCCCGCTTAGCGGGGGCGGGGTGATGAGAGCGGCGGTGTGGCTCAGGTCCAGGTGGGTGCCAGGGGCTGCAGGAGTCTCCCTCTGCAGGCAGAGCACTGGGGTCTCCTAACGGATTAGACGCTGGGTGCGGGAGTAAGAAATGAGTCTGCGATGAGCCCAGGGTTTGGTGCAAGGAGCTGGGTGGAGCCACGTCGCTGTGAGAGGGAGGCTTGTGGGCTGCTGACAGGGAGCTGAGACCCGCTCGGAGACGGGGCATCGAGCCATCGAAGCAGCGACATCAAGCTCGTGATCCGACGCCTGAGTCAGAGACAGAGATGCGATCCTTCCCGACTCAGCTCGAAGCTGAGGTCAGAGAGGTGAAGTCGTGATTCACCGGAGGCAGCCCAGCTCCACTGGGAGGGCCCGGGGTGACGTCTGCCGTCGTGGCTGCTGGCGGGACAGGCGCCGAGCTTGGGTGGGCAATGACAGCCGGGCAGGCTGGCGGGCACTTTGCATGGAATTGGTATTTTGGCAATTAAATTGAGCTGCTTTAACTAGACCAGGCAGAGCGACCAGCCAGACTGTCTGGCTTTGCAGCCCCACAAGGGTGCTGGTGACACCACGAGGCTTTGAGCTGCTGACCTGGGGGAAGTTACCGACCCGCCAAGAGGCCTCCAAGTCCACTTTTAGCTGGTGGTAATGGTAACCCTGGCTCAAAGGCAACGATGAGATGGTGTGCAAAACGTCTGGAGTGAAGTCCACCACCCAGTGAGGGCCTGGACACGCGAGTGGGGGTCACGGCAGGGGTGGGGGTCCATCTTCATGATGCAATTGCCGCTTCAGGGAAGTCTCTCCGTGGGGACGTCGGGGAAGAAGTTTCCCTTCACCCTTCCAGGTTCTTGTCCATGGTGTGCAGACTAACCTGGCGTGAAGCTGACTAACAGGAGACAGTCAGACAGAAGTGCAGCAACAC